CTTTGATTACTGTCATATCCAATGATTCGTGATAAGCGAATTCTAGATGTTTTTAACGTTTGTCCATCCCGTTATAAGAGGATCATTGGAGGGAAGGTAGCTCCTTATATAGCAGAAAAGTGAGTTATGATTCATCAGAGTCTATGAATAACGCTCCTTATAAAGTGACGTGATCGCAAGTAGCGAGCATTCGCTCCTTATATGGTAAGGTATGCGGAGTCTAATCTTGCTTACAGTGGTGAGTCAGAATGTGCGTCTAAAAATAGCTATGACTTTTAGTGTAGAGTATGTAGATCGTTAGTGGCATGATCGGATGATTTAAGCAAAGTATGAGTCATGATACTATGGCAAAGCTTATTCTATTGCGAGAACGATATTCTTTTCTGTTAAGAAATAATTTTAATAGTATTATTCATTTCAATATGTTAGAATTAATATTAGATGCGTTTTACATATGATTGGTCGATTTCTATTTTTATTGTTAAATAAATTTACATTGATTCTTTTTATTAAATAACACATCTAATTTGCTGTGAATTCTAAATAAAATATCTTTCTCGTCTTTTTAGTGTTAATATTACCTTAGATTTGGATTCGTTTCGCATATAATGTTGTATATAATTATTTTATACGTTATTATGGTTCGTCGCAATTGTTATATTGTTTTTATATAATGCTCAGTTGAAAAGGATAATAAACAATTGATTTGGAGTTGGATATTAACGGATGGTATTATTGTCCAATCGGAGGTTTTCTTAGGACATCTCCTAAATTATTGAGAATTTGAATATAAATCATATTAAAGAATTTATGTGTGGGACTAAGGTCTATAATAATTCAACATAAAAGATATTGCTTAATAGGGTTAAAATACAATATCATAATAATTTGTTAGTTAATAATTTTCCTTATTAATAATTTTATACAATATTTAATTGTTAATTAGTTCTATTTGGTTACAGGAATTCAGTAAGGCAGTTTAATTCGTTATACGGATATTGTAAGAGTAGTTTCTCTATTTTAATAGGTGTAATAATTTATTAGGTGCAAGAATGATAAAAGGATAAATTTGTAGATACGATTGAAAAATGGAATGTGCAGGTTTTATTTGTATCACTTTTACATTTATAACTCAAAAAGTTTATTTTAAATAAGTTTTATTATATTGGGTCATCTAAAAACTGCGGATACTTTTTAGATGACCCAATATAAATTTCGAATATGGTTCTATTATATAGGATTACATAAGTTAACAAGATATATTGGGTCATCTAAAAAGTATCCGCGGTACTTTGTCACTAGATATATGACCATAACACACATCTAGTGACAAAAAACCGTGGATACTTTTTAGATAACCCAATATTTCATGGTTTACTAGCGTTTTCTGGTATTGCAATTGAATTGTGGGATGTTACTATATTATACCGGCCTTCTGATTGGTTGGTGTCTTTTATGAGTTAAATCTTGGTTGTGTTCCAATAACTGTGTCAAAAAATTTCTTTTTAGTTACAAGGTAGCGCTGTAACTAATATAGCTGTGTTCCGTAAGAGATCAGCTGACACCGTAGTTTGTATTTACTTTATCGGCTTGTCTAATTTGTTATTTAAAAAATGGAAATTTATTTATATTTGATGAATTATTTTCAAGTTCAAGTGAAAGTTCTGAAAGTGAAGAAGAAATAATAAATATTATTTATGACGATAACGAAAATCATTCGATAAGAAGGAAAGCAAGAATTCAAAATTTTATTGAAAATGTAATTTGTAAATACAACAATTTCAAGAAGAATTTTGAGAAAATTTTCGATATGTATAAAGTTAATTTAATAATCTATATATGTGTATAAAAAATCAAAAACAAATAATTTTTAATTTTAGACTGCGATATTCAACCTTTAATTATCTCTTACATTTATTAAGAAATGATTTAGAAGGAGAAAATTTTTCAGGGAAAATGCCTATATCTGCAGAAAAACAATTGTTCATTGCTTTGTACATGCTGGCAACATCAGATTCAGGTTACTATATTGATTAAAATTTGTAAAAGCACAATTGTTATAATAATTAATTTTTTAATAATTTTATTTGGCTAAAGATCTGTAGTTACAAAATTCGATATTGGTAAGGCAACAGCTTGGCGAGCAGTACGAAGAGTTGTTAAAGTTCCTTGTAAATATAGAAATTACTTTATTCGATGGCTAAATCAAAAAGAAATGAATGAATGTAGCCAAACATTACAAATGGTTTTTCTAGAATCGGAGCTCTGGATGGAATATCTGAATGGACACATATTTATATATTAGCTCCAACTCGAGATAGTCAATCTTATATAAATAGAAAGGGAAGACACTCTATTCAGTTGCAGGTACATACATTTATTATTTTAAAATTTTATTAACGTAGTATTTTAATATTTAAAATAATTGTTCATACAGATTGTATGTAATCATAAATTGCAATTCTGTTATACTGGCCTTCCTGGATTCGTGCATGATATGAGAGTATTTAAATATTCGGGACTACAACAAAGATGTAACGAATATTTTCCAAATAATATCCACATTATCATAGATTCAACTTATGTGCAAAAACATATTATGGTGCTATATAAAGATAATGGTCATCTAACTGCTTAGGAAATATATTACAATACTCTCTAAAACTAAAATGATAGAGAAATCAATCTGCTTATTAAAAGGACGATGGAGATGTCTTTTGGATAAACAACCTATGCGAAGGACAGATTTGATTTCATACTACATATTAAGTTATTGCATCTTACACAATATCTGTTTATTTCAAGATGATAATTTTGAGTATCCAGTCATCATCAGTCATCATCAGATAATGTGGTTGCAGAACCAATGATCGTAAATCAATTATTGCAAGACAAAGGATCAGCGACAAGAAAAAAAAATTAGATTAACTACTTAATTTGTATATCATCTATTAGATGTACAACTTTGCTTCCGCCGTTTTCCTATAGATGGCTTTAGCGGTAAGTGGTGGTCGACATAAATAGATCATAGACGTCATACAATAAACTTGAGCATCTGTCAATATAATCCCATAGAAACATTAGTCGATTTATGTCTGCATCATAAAGTTATCGATTGAAAATGTCAGTTTACGAGCCAAATTCTCGTTATTTGCGGGAGGTTTTAAAATTCTGCTTCAATATGAAGAAATCTGCGGCTGAAGCTCATCGAATGCTCTCAAATACTTATGATGAGACCGCTATTAGTGAAAGAACGTGTCGTGAGTGGTTTCAACACTTCAAGAACGGTGATTTTGACATCGAAGATCGGCATAGCGGTGGAAGGGAGAAGGTTTTCGAAGATGCAGAATTGGAGGCATTACTTGATCAAGACTCGTGTCGAAATCAAGAAGAAGTGACACGATCATTGGGAGTGACTCAACAAGCCATTTCAAAATGCCTCAAAGTCATGGGAATGATTCAAAAGTAAGGAAATTGGGTGCCGAAGTCGAGAGATGTTGAACGGCGTTTGTTTGCTTGTGAATAGCTGCTTAAAAGGCAAAGACGGAAGGGATTTCTGCATCGCATTGTGACTGAGGACGAAAAATGGGTTCATTACGATAACCCCAAGCACAGAAAATCATGGGGAGTTCCCGGCCATGCTTCCACGGTCAAACCGAATATTTACGGCTCCAAAGGTCATGCTCTATTTGGTGGGACCAGCTCGGCGTAGTGTATTATGAGCTATTAAAACCGACTGAAACAATCACAAGCGATCAGTATCGAACGCAATTGATGCATTTGAGAACCAAACGGGGCCGCAATACAATGAGAAACATGATAAAGTAATTTTGCAGCATGACAATGCTCGACCCCATGTTGTGAAAGTGATCAAGACATACTTGGAAACGTTGAAATGGGAAGTCCTACCCCACCCGCCGTATTTTCCAGACGTTGTTCCCTCTGACTATCACTTGTTTCGATCAATGGAACACGGCTTGGCTGACCAGCACTTCCGGTCTTATGAAGAAGTAAAAAATTGGATCGATTCGTGGATCGCTTCAAAAGATGGCCAGTTTTTTCGACGCGGGATTCGTACGCTGCCCGAAAGATGGGAGAAAGTAATGGCCAGCGATGCCGACAATACTTTGAATCATAAATGTATAACCAGTTTTTTACAATAAAGCCTCGTATTTCGGAAAACGGCGGAAGCAAAGTTGTATACCTAATATATAAATATTAGGTCGGGGAAAAAGTTTCTTCGTATTTAAAAAAAATTTTTCGCAAAAGTTTTTCATTTGTTGCAAAATTTTCGTTACAATTATATTATTCGTTAGAGCAAAGTTTTAGCTTTAAGAATCTGTTTTTTAAATTGCGGTGAGATGATTTTTATCGGAGTTACGAGCAATCAAAGTTAGAATGCTCCTTTACTTAATTCGCGAATAATTCAGTAACAAAAAATCATAGGAACATTTTTAAAAAATGATTTTGTAGGAAAAGCTTCGAACTTTTACGATAGGTAGTCGAAAATTTTTGTAAATTTTTTTTGGACACGTGAGAGACCTTCAAAGTGAAAAGAAAAATTTTCATCTTTTTCAGTTCGCAGTTTTTTTAATGTAAAAATTATCAAACTCATAGAAACTGAAAAAATATAGTAATTTTTCGAAAGTAGAGATTTCAAGCTTTAAAACTCTCTTTTTAAATTGAAATTTCATTTATTTTTGACGAAGATATTGTATATACAATTTTGAATTAAAAAATACGAAGAAACTTTTTCCTCGACCCAATATATAAATATATATAGCTTCTTTTTCTTATGATACATATTAACTTTCGTCTTATTATTAATAATTTTAAAGTTACTTAAATTAATTTTTTCATTGATAGTTGTTACTTTATTAAATAATTTTAGATTTTTTGACAACTTAACTATGTAAATAAGGAATAAGAATTGTAATCAAACACACTTTCGTACACCTGATGACATATCCTAGAATACTTTAATAAATAAACACCTCTCTCTCTCTCTCTCTCTCTCTCTCTCTCTCTCTCTCTCTCCCTACTTCATTCCTTTTATCTGTAGATATATATCCTTACATGTTTCCATCCTTTTACAACTTACTGATCTCTCACATTTTTTTGCTTTCACCAACTTTTCGTTTATTGCAGTTCTTCCTGACCACTCATTACAGTCTTCGTTACGTTAAAGACTTCCACTTATAATAAATGGAAATAGAATGGCTTGAGAGAATTGGCGTTGTTTAAAGTGCGCTAATTGTAATTGAAACAAATCTATCAATATTTATAGATTGAAAATTTATTAAAGAGATGGAAGAACAATGATAATTAAAACGTTAAAATGAATGAATAACTCATATCTTTCAGTTAATCTTTTAACCATCTTGAGGTAGTAGTAGACGCAAAACAATTTACAAACTTTGTGTTCCTATGTACATGAAAAATGATCAGAACGTATGAATTTATTTTTTGCAGTCTCCAGGGAAAACAGACTAAGCCTCGATTCGTCGAGAATACATTCTCCGATGCTAGTTACAAGGATGGAATTTACGATGTTAGTGCCTTTAATTACGAATAAATATTTTTATATGAGAAAATGGATATACAAAAAACTTACTCGTAATGGAAACTGCAAGCAACATAAATGTAAACTGCTTTCAAGTCTTCATAGCAAAAGCATCAACAATTAAAGATTTTTTAGTCAAATTATCTCATAATTGTAAGTTCAAGACGCCTTTAATGCTCTCAATGGAAAAAACGTTAAAAAAAAGTTAAGAAATTTTGAAAGAGTAATATTATTAGGTGCGCAACTAAGTTCCCGCTGTCTGTCAACAGATGGCTCCAGCAATAAGTGCTGGTCGATTTTGACATAACCTAAACGTCATGAACCAAGCTTAGACATATGGTAAACAAACCGCTTTGAAACATTAGTGATTTTGTTTTTACATATTCTTTTGGTTGTGTGAAAATATCTGATTTTGTGCCAAATAATCGTCATATGCGGGAAGTATTGATTTTCTTCTTTCATTCGAAGAAAACGGCGGCTGAAGCGCATAGAGAGCTCCAAAAAGTTTACGGAGATGCTGCTCTAAGTGAAACAACGTGCCGAGATTGGTTCCGTCGCTTCAAAGACGATGATTTCGATGTTGACGACCGTCCGCGTGAAGGAAGGCCAAAAACCTTCGAAGACGCTGAATTGGAGGCATTGCTCGATGAGGATCCGTGCCAAACGCAAGAAGAGCTTGCTTCAGTATTAGGAGTTACCCGCCAAGCCATTTCCAAGCGATTGCATGCGTTGGGAATGATTCAGAAGCAAGGAACTTGGGTTCCTTATGAGTTGAAGCCAAGGGACGTTGAGCGTCGTTTTTTCGTCTGTGAACAACTGCTCCAGCGACAAAAAAGGAAGAGTTTTCTTCATTGCATCGTGACGGGTGATGAAAAATGGATTCATTACAGCAACCCAAAGAGAAGAAAGTCACGGGGCCGCCCAGTCATGTTTCTACGTCGACGCCTCAGCCGAATATTCACGCTGCGAAGGTTATGCTGTGTATTTGGTGGGACCAGGTCGGTGTTATTTATTATGAGCTGTTGAAACCGAACGAAACCATCACTGGGGAACAGTATCGACTTCAATTGATTTGATTGAGTTGAGCACTGCGCGAAAAACGGTCACAATACGCGGAGAGGCACGAAAAAATGATTCTACAGCATGACAACGCTCGGCCTCACGTTGCCAAACCCGTTAAAACCTACCTGCAAACGCTGAAATGAGAAGTCCTACCCCACTCGCCATATTCTCCAGATATTGCATCGTCCGATTATTACTTGTTCCGTTCGATGGCACATGGTCTGGCTGACCAGCAGTTCGACTCATATGAAGACATCCAAAAATGGCTTGATTTGTGGATAGCCTCAAAAGATGAATAGTTTTATCGTGATGGTATACGAGCTCTGCCAGAAAGATGGGAAAAAGTAGTAGCTAGCGATGGGCAATACTTTCAATGATTCATTTGTAACCATTTTTTCACAATAAAGTTGCATTTTCATCAAAATAACAGCGAGAACCAGTAGTTGCGCACCTAGAAAAATAATGAATTTCTTTTTACTACACTTAATATAAAATATTCAGTACAGAATAATGTGTCGACCATACATCGTCAAATATTAAAATGAATAATTTAATCATATACAATTTAATCATATTACGAAGTAATCATTTAAATTCATTATCATTTTATTTAGGTCGTCATTTTATTTTGAATTATTTTATTTAGGTTCGCCAATCATTTAAAAATCATGTTTGATGTCAAAAACAAAAACAAACTAAGAGTTAAAATAATTAAAATATACTTGGTTTAACAGTTTTATGTCTGTTTTTAAATTAATGCTACCATTTTGTTATTTTAAATTCATCATTTCTGATATCAGTCTCTTATTGTAATTTTGCTCATTGTTTAATATTTTAATGTCTAAATAAGTAAAAAGGAAAAAGGGCTACGAGCCTAAAACATAAATTGACAAACTGTATAAATAGTTAAAAAAATTGAAATAAAACTATGTCATAAAATTAAAAATATAATTTGACAATCAGAAGATGAACAAAACAAACGTTTCGATCCTAGTTGGATCATTTTCAATGTGACAAATAAATTAGTGTGACAAATAAATTAACAACGGTAATTAACAATAGAGTTATAATGTAGATAAAAACATAAGAAATTAAGTAAAATTCGCATTCGGACGCAAACTAACTATAAAACTCGCTCCAAATTGAGAAGAAATCAAACAAATTATAGTTGACAAAAATGTGCTCCTCCGAACCGTGTGTGTGTGTGTATAAGGACGAACATGTTTCTGTTAGCAAGTATAAATTGTAATAATAAATTAACGATAGAAGTAAATAAAAATAATAAGAAAAGTACAAATCGAGTCGCAAATAATAAAAAGAAAAGTACAAAATAAGTCGTAAATAATAAGTCAAAATTAAAAGAAAGAGACAAAAATTATCTTTGATATTATAAAACAAGCACATAAGAAAAAAAGAGTAAATTGCCACATGCATTGTATATGTATGATGAGTTTAGAACAAATAAATTTATAATAAATACCTTATGTGTGTGTCGAAATGATGTATTATCGATTAGGCAATGCAATTGGAATCGAAATTGATCGTCTCTCTAAGAAGCTAAGATATAAAGTACGACATATAAAGACAAGAAGGTTGAAATGGAAAGGGAAGGGGGAAAAAATCATTTCAGTGATATCTCTGAAGATAGAATTTTAATAGTATCTTACTTTTCAAAGACTTTTAGAGAATTCCTTTGAAAATCATTTTCAAGAGTCTGAATGTTCCTGAATTTCACGCGAATTCAATGTCTCTGAAACTTAAATGGATATAAATAACACGCTTTATCAGTTGAATAAGTGGTGTAGTACGTAATGTAGGAGACATAATCCAGAGCTCCCAAGTTCGAATCCCATTAGATAAGTGTGTTTTTCAAAATAATTTCGATAAAATCATTACATGTATTATAAAATTTATAAGTCTTAAAATATAAATTTATTTTCAAGTATCACATTGAAAATGTCTGAAAAATTCTAAAAGTTTATGAATATATTGTAAAAAATTTTATGAAAATCTTTAAAAGTCACTGAAATATTTTGATAAATATCTAAATTTATACTGAAAAATTCTCTGAAAAGCTTTGCAATGTATACGAAAATATTTAGACATTTTCAGAAAAATTTTCAGACTTTTTCAGAAAAATTTTCGGAGAAATTCAGAGAAATTTTTTCTTCATCTCGAAGCTTAAATTTTGCAGTGAACATTTGGTGCTTTCATTTTTTGTGTGAAGGTAATGGGATACATTTATTATTAAGTTAATTAATGTTTACAATTTATGACATTTTAAAAGAAGCTTACACGGAGTTTATAATAGCAGTTGTTCCGGTCGTAGGATCTTAAGTTATAGAAAATTAATCAATCACAGAATATGAGAAGAATAATTGACTATGATTCATCAATTTTCTATGACTTAAGCCCGATTGCACCAATGTTACTTTGACTTTAAGCAAGGCTTAAGACCCTACGACCACTACGACCATGGCGAAAGGGATAACATGGTGTGCGCAGTTTGGACAGTATCTCTTTCTAATAGACTTTTTACAATAAGTCATTACCTAAGCTTTAAATCTTAAGCTATATGAAATTAACCAATCATAAACAATTTTTTTTCTTACATTCGACTGTGATCAGTTAATGTCTTACGGTTTTTACTCAAAACTTAAGTAATAGCTTATTTTTTGTAGAAAATCCATAAATCTCTGATCTCTCTCTGTTTAATCGTTCATAAGGAAGAAGCTACTAACTGTGAAACGCTGAACGGCATTCATAGTCCGTTTTTATTTTAAAATCATCTTAAATATAATGTCTTAAGATGTTAATACAGTTCTCGGATTGACTTGTGACATCTTAAGACTATACTTAAGACAGTCTTAATTGCAAGAATTGATTATGAATACCGACCTGTTTCACGTCGTAAGGTAGGTATTGAATCTTTCCTTACACAAGAAAAGAATACCGCGTTTATGCTTTATTTCGCGTTTCACAGTTGTAGCCCTTGAATCTTATGAACATCCATAGACAAAGAGGGCGAAGATTTACAGAGAGACACTGTCCAACTGCACATACCATGTTATTCCTTCCATGGCTACGATTTCTATTGTATAATAGATCTCTTATTAAGTTTCAAACTTTGAATCGTAAGAAAGTGACCAATCACAGGAAAATAAATTGATGTTTATTACACTACAGAATATTTTGTGATTTATTTCAATTAGGAAGATTTGATTTTCTTATGTATTATGCTCATTTGCGTGCGCGAAATAATTGTGTTAATATAAGATTTGTAATAATTATTTGTAATAATTATTTTTAAGAATATGAATTTGTATAATCTGAATATTAATATAATAGGATTATCGTAATAAGAAATGCCAAAGATGAAGGATTTTTGTGCATTGTCACAAAGAAAAGTCAATTACAGCAAATACACATTTCTGAAAATTTCGTTCCAAAAATGATTACAAATTTAAATCAGAACAGAAATAATTCTTGGCACAATTGTAATCAGGAACTAAGTAATGTTTTAGTTGATAATCTTTGATGATCCCATACAGCACAGAAAGATTGTAGAAACATTGCAGAATGATTTCACTGAAACATTACAATATTGGTGGTTGCGAAACGTTGCTAAATCATTGTTGTAAAATTCGAATAATGTTAAGATATCCGCGTATTACAACAAAACGTTCCAGCAATATTTGAATGTAATGTATTAGGTGTTGGAATTAATTCGTAGCGTTTTACAAGTGATGGGAAGTACTTTCATTAATGTATTTTTTAATGCTCATGTGAAATAAATAACATTCTTTCATTAAAAAACGCTACGAATTAATTCCAACACCTAATATTTAGATAAATTTTTTACGAAGACTCTAAAATGAAAACTATTTCTATACATATATCTCACTAACTTTAATTTTTTTACAATCACATTTCTAGTGATATGTGTTTTCCAAAAACAATTTTTTATGATAAAACCATAAAATATTCCAATAAATATAGTATTAATTCTGAAGAATAAATTTATTCATAAGGATATAGTAAGTTATATGTGTGCCCCCAACAAACTACAAATATTATCCACATTAATATAATAATACAGTCGCTTGGTAAATTAATCATGAATTAAGTTAATCGCAGTGATTCTTTTTAATTCGAAACTCCGAATCAATTGAAATCAATGAAAAAATGACGGTATAAAATTTATCAATAAAATTCAGGCGCTGGTTTATTTTTGCGTTCATATCAGGCATAAATACATCATCGATCACATAATTAATATTTCGATAAATCGTTTTCAGCAGCTTAATTGCTTATCGTCTTATTCGATAAAAATTGCATTGATTGTGTTCAAACTCAATATTATACAATCTTTTGATTTCATATTTAAAATAAATATCAAACTTAGCTAATGAAATGGCCGTCAAATAATAGATCAATAAATTTTTTATTTAAATATAAAATGCATTATATCAATTATTATATCATAAAAACGACTGTTAATATAAAAAACTGTACTACATAAATATTGTAAAAACTTATATTTTTATATTATTATTGTAACAATTAAAGAATTACAGTTTTGCAATGTTTATGGAATATTACAAGTATATTACTTTTACAGGCATATTGTTAATTTACATTTCTGTAATATCTCTGCAATGTTACATTGCAATCTGCAATGTTGTAACATTACAACAATATTGCTTCAATCTTCTGTGCCGTATTTTATTTTGTTTTTGATAATGAGAACAGTTATGATAATCTTTCGAAAAATGATCGATGCAGCAATCGAGCAATCAAATGTATTACATATTTTTACATTTTTTATTTTTGAAAAAAATCCGTTATTTAATAATGAGCAAATCTCCGTGAAAAATTATCATTTGAACTGATAAATATAAAATACAGCAAAAAAGTTTAACTTCTTTACTTCATGTACTAAAAAGTGAAGGTCACGATAATCTTTCTAACAATGGTAAAACATTAATGAACTCAAATTGTTTTACCAGATTCTTTTCTCCTTGGTGCGTATCATGGATATAATAAGCCAACAACTCATGATTTTTTACAACACTTTGTCACAGAGTTCAAGCAACTATGTGCAATCGGTTTTACGTATAAAAATAATATTTATTATGTTAAAATTAAAGCAATCATATGTGATAGTCCTGCACGATCATTTATAACTTGTACAAAAGGTCATAACGGTTATTTTGGATGCAGTAAATGTAGAAGGAGATTATGAAAATCGAATGCTTTTTCTTGAGTAAAATTGTCATTTGTGAACTGATGAATCGTTTAATCTTCGACAAAATCCTGAACATCATATTGGAGTAATCAATTTTTGAAAGTATTCCATTACCAATAGTTATTACTTTTCCGCTCGATTACATGCATTTAGTATGTTTCGGTCAAAAATGAAAAAAAATGTTGAATTTATGGTTAAGAGGACCCATTCGAATTCAATGTCGATTATCCGACCAACAAATAAAAAATTTAAATAAGCGTATGCTTGCTTTAAAAAAATATGTTTGTGCTAAATTTGTCACAGTACTGTTCAACAAATAGTGTTGAAGAAATAAATAGACGAAAAGCTACGGAATTCCGAATTTTTTTATTATATCTTGATCTTATTTTGTTGTATAAATATTTTCCTTATAATTATTTAAAACATGTCATTGCATTTCATTGTGCAATTCGAATATTATGTAATCCCCAAGATTATTTATAAATAATGAGTATAAAAAGAACTTTTATTTTTTGTTCAAAATTATGAAATTTTATATGGTAAGGATAATATGATTTACACAGTACATAATTTAATACACTTGAGTAATGATGCTAAACAATTTGGGCCATTGGATAGTTTCAGTGCTTTTTCTTTTGAGAACTATTTGCATAGTTTAAAAAAATTGTGAAAGTATGAAAAGCCTTTGCCACAAATACATCGTTGAATAATTGAAAAGAATACAGCAAGTAAATATAAACAAAGTAAAGATACAGAACAATATCCAATATTAATTTTAAAAAACAATAAAAACATTCCATTTGAATGTTCTTCTTCTTATGAGACATTGAAATTTCGTGAATTCAAGTTATCTTGTTTTTCACATTGTTTTTGTTATTTAAAAAAATAATAAAGTCTTCATTGTTTTTATTATTTAAAAAAATAATAAAGTCTTCATGATACATTATATTGGATTGAAAAATGGAAATCCTGGTCATTTAAAAAGTATTCTTCTCTCAAATTTTATCCATGCAATTCTCAAAATGTGAATATTTTTGTGGTCTCTAATAATTTAACTGAACTGAAATGTATTTTTGCGAACGAAATCCAAAGAAAAGCTGTATTACTTCCGAATCAAGAAGACAAATTTTGTCTTTCCACTTCTTCATTCAGATTTAATACAAGGTATATACAGATTGACGAAACGCAAAATTAGTTCATAATTTTACTTATTTATTTAATTATTGTAATTTTTTATTTTTATTTTTATATAGATGTTTAAAGTTGTGATTGGTTATGGCTAGTGTTTAGTTGTGCTACAATCATGGCTTGATCCTGATGAAGAAACTAAGTTTCTGGGCACCACATGGTATTGACGTGTCAAAAGCGTTGAAGAAAATATTATCTCCAGAAACTTCATGGGAGAGCATTCCATATAAATATGCCATTCGGTAAGAATAATAATAGATTAAATAAATTTTGACGAGCGTAATATTTCAGGTATACATTTTGATTTGAATGGATATTTTGTTATAATTCATTATTTTTACATTTCTATAAGTAATAAATAACATATAAAATAAAACATTTGTAACGCATTACGTTACAATACGTTATGTTTTGATTGTAAAACTGTATGTGACAATAAATATCGAAGAAAATTATAACGTTTAACTTTACATATTAAGGCCCAACTTGTTATTTCTCATCTTTTTCCAATTCTAGAATTGAAAAGAGATAATGAATAAGTTGAACCTCGGTTAAGAGTTAACCGTCAGTTGTGAAACTGGGTTTAACTCATTCTAATTCGTGAGGATTTGAAAAAAATGATAGATTGATCAATAATTTTGTCATTTTGTGACCAGACTGTGTTCTAAAGTTTCTAATTTTAAATAAAAAATATAAAATCTTATTATGTATGTATGTATGTATGCATTATTATATAAATAATAAACAGAGTATCTCTGAAATACATGCAGTCATTCATTTCATGTTTTACTGCGTCCAATGGAGAATTAATTATTTTTTATTGATGTTTTTGATTATTTTTGGAGATTCCTTTAAAGATGCTAAAGAAGCAGAGAAAGATGCAGAATTTGTGTCATCAGATAAAGGAAAAATTATAGCTCTTCAAAATAAAAAAAGATTTGCCTTTAAAAAGATAAAGGAAACCTAAAATTTTTGATAATTTTAATGATGACAAAGATTGATCTTCCGATATTGAAAATCTATAAAATTAAATTATTATATTTCTAAGTTTTTTACTGTTTTTCAATTTAAAATTTTTAATTATATCTGGCTTCATTTTTTATAGCAAATGATTCTGAGAGATCAAAAAATTCTTGGGAAACTCAAACTTCTGATGAAGAATCGGTGCCCCCACTTGACCTATGTTGCTATTTAATATTTTCGACCCCTCTCGTGCCCCACGTGCCCCATTGGGGGCGGGGGAGTCGCAACCCCTTCCAAAAGATAGATTTTTTTGAAAAATCGTTTCACGTGTTTCGGCGTTTTTTCAAAAAAATTTTTTTTTTCAAGTTATTCACCCGGTCCGGGACTTTTTGAACACCCTGTATATATATATATATATCTTGTATAAAGCTTATTATTTCAAATTTAATATTTTAAAATGTATCATTTGTATTTGCAGAGAAAATTGAGAAAAATGTTCCGAATCATATAATTACTTCATATAATTACAAATATGATATAAACACATATATGAAGTTAAAATCTGATAAATTTTTTCTTATGATTAAGTAGAATTTATTCATGCATTATATAATTACACATACATATATATATATACAGGGTAAATCAGAGTCGTTGAACCAGCTTTTTACCCTATGAGAAAATTATCGACTGCACACGTTATAAATCAATTATATCGCATGCTTGGTTACTGAATAGATATTGAAGTCGATAATTTTCTCATAAGATAAAAAGCTAGTTCAATGACTCTGATTCACCCTGTACACACACGCACGCACGCACGCACGCACGCATATGTATAAGATGTATTGTAATCATTTTACATACAATTATTATATATTTATATGTGATTACCTTGGTGGAAAAATTTAGCTGAAATTAATCCACGTTTTGAAACATTTCAGCAATTTCGCAGTAACGTTCCAAAACGAAATAATATCAATAAAATTTTTTCATCATATATTATATAGATTTTTAGAAAGAATACTTAGAAAATAATTAATGATAAAGTTTGTATAATTTTATCTTTTTTTTTTTAGATACACAACTCGAACAGGACAAGTCTTTCAAATGTTCAAATATTTCTGATACTCGTAAGTTTGACGATGATTATCATCCGCAAAACAAAGAAAATTTTAGAGGTAAAGAAATTATTTGTTACTAATAAAATTTATATCGTTTATAGATTTATAAAATGTATGTATTCACATACACACATATCTATTTTATAAATGATATTCAAGAGAATTATTCCGGAAGGATAAAATATAATGTGAAAAAACCTTCACCTAATACAGAAGAAAAGCGGTGTCTTCCTACGATAAAACACAGTACATAATAATGCTATTATTTTTATATTTTATATGTTTATTATAAATATTTTAAAATGTGTTTTAATATTCATTATTAATATTCTTTAATTTTTATTTATCAATTGATTATAATCCCGAAATTGATATAAAAACGATAAACAGAATGAAATCTGAACCTTCTAAAGGTAATCAGGAAAAATAGTTTTTTATTATACATATTATACTATTTCTACAATTTTATAATCGAACTACCTATATTTTTAATTATTAACAATTATT